GCCGATCCGTCCTTGCCTTTTGTCGTTACTACGGATGCTAGCCAGTACGGCATAGGCGCAGTGTTACAGCAAGAGGATGGCAATGGGTATAGACCCGTAGAGTTCATGTCCGCTAGAATGCCTCCAGAGAAGGTCGCGACATCTACCTACGAGAGGGAACTCTACGCTCTCAGGCAAGCCTTAGACCACTGGAAGCACTACTTGCTTGGGAGACACTTCAAAGTCTATTCTGACCATGCAACGCTACGATGGTTAAAGACGCAGGCCAAGATGACACCTAAGCTTACTAGGTGGGCCGCAGAGATAGATCAGTACGACTTTGAGCTCAAGCCTGTCAAAGGGAAGTACAACGTAGTCGCGGATGCTCTGAGTAGAAGAGCTGATTATTTTGGGGCAATAGTACATTACCTCGATATAGGAAAGGATCTGCAGCAGCAGGTTAGAGAAGCCTACGCGCAGGACCCTATCTATGGTGAGCTCCTTAAGACAGTCAAGGAGGCCCCAGAGACCGAGCCGAACTACCGCACTACTGAAGGGTTGCTTTTTGAGAAGACTAATGTTTTTGACCAATTGTGCATCCCCAAGAGCGAAGAGATCCGCAGTCTGATCCTGGGAGAATGCCATGACACGGAGGGTCATTTTGGTTGGCAAAAGACCTTAGCCAATCTGATGCGCGCGTATACCTGGCCAGAGATGAAGAATGACTGCGTAGAGTATGTTCGCAGTTGTAAGGTCTGCCAGAAAAAGTCTTCTACGCGTGCCCCGTTAGGTCTTCTCAGACCCTTGCCCATTCCGGATCAGCCGAGAGACTCAGTGTCAATAGATTTCATGGACACTTAAGTCAAGAGCAGGCATGGCAAGAGCCAAGTCATGGTCATAGTTGACCGCTAGTAAGTACGCATTTTTTGTTCCTTTGCCTTCTGAGGCGCGTACTGATTTAATCATACAGAGGTTCTTTGACTGTTGGGTTAGTGAGAATGGAATCCCGCTGGCTATAGTTAGCGATAGAGATAGTCGCTTTACTAGCCAGAACTGGCAAGAACTCATGGGAGATACGGATCTAAGTTGTTGATGTCGTCCGGCCGCCATCCAGAGACTGACGGTCAGACAGAGCAAATGAACGAGATCCTGCAGCAAGTTCTGCGCATGTATATTAGGCCAGATCAGATTAACTGGGATGAGATGTTGCCTAAAGTAGCTAGTGCGTATAATAACAACGTGCATCTAGCCACCTGCCGCACTCCCAACGAACTGCACAAGTCCTTTAGACCGCGCAGACCGTTCGAGGGACTCAACCGGGATCAGATTCAGAGATTGCCGCCCGGGACCCGGGAGTTCGCTGTACAGCACGAGAAAGAACTAGCTACTGCTGTAGAAAACCTCAGGAAAGCCCAGCATAGGATGATAGAAGCAGCAAACAAACATCGTCGCCCTTCACAGTTTCAAGTAGGCGACTTAGTCTGGGTTAGTTTGAAAGAGTTTGCACCTGAGGAGAACATCTCGCAGAAGTTACTGCCCATATATAGAGGACCGTGGCATGTTCTGGATTCAAGGGCGGCAAAGATGGACCGTCCTACACCATAGAGTTACCAGCACACCTCCACACTTACCCAGTTTTCCACGCATCAAAGTTGTTACCGTGTCAAACGAGTGATCAGTTTCCATCCCGTAGGTCCATGATCCCA